CAGCGAAAGGACTCTGCCTGACCGCATCACCAACTGCATACATTGTACATATACGAACCTCTAGATGCAATTTGGTGCATCGTTGCCTGTTGCCAGGGCGGGCGTTACGGGTTTTGGCATTTTTGTTGCAGGCACACAGGCGTTAAAAATGCAGCAAGGCATTCTGGCAAAACTTGTCCTTGCTGCTGCCGCTGCTGCTTAAGCTCGTTACTCCATAGTTTTTCTCGCATACGCATAGTTAATTTTTTATGTCTAACGAAAATTGTATCCAGGAATTATGAGCGGATCTGTTAAAGCTGTTTAAACTGTGTCTTAAATTGCAGCACTTTAAGGCGAGGCATAAATAGAAGCCTCATTTCCGATAGGAAACTAAAATGTTTGACCAAAGGAATTTTTTTTAAATTAATTTATGTGTAATGAATTTAATGAGAAGTTGAGCAGGGCATGAGCTTGGTCTTTGGGCTTCAAGTTCGTAGAATATTTTAATTATGGTTTTATGAAGAACTTATGAATTTCCACTTAAAAAGAAGATTAAAGAATCCTCAATCCACAATCTTTTATACTTAATTGGCTGGATAATCTAGTTAGAATTGAAAATGATATATTAGGTATGGGTCAGGTCAATCATAGATTATATTTATAATATCAAAACCACTTCTAATAATTTGCAGTCACTTAACAGATCGTATTTTTGGTAATTATTTAGAAACATTTTGGCTTGGCATTGCCTAGTTTGTACCAAAGCTGACCACAGCAGCCGCAAGTGCTAAATTGTCAAGTAAAACCTAACTCGCTTGCCAGCAAACAAATTCAATTAATGCTAAAAACGTTATGCGAGCCAAAATATTCGCATGCAGAGACACCACAGTTTCCTTCTTGTGTGGGTATATCGAATGTGTCCAACATATCGGGCCAACTTGGCTGACAGTCTGCTTGGCTGACCATTTTGGCTATCTCCGGTCAGTCTCAGTGTCTGTGTGGCGGGTGCCAGGCTATCGATTGGCATTGCCAATGGCCACAAAACTTTGTTTACCGTTGCTTGGACATTTTGCAATCAGTTGAGGGCAAAAACTTTGCAGCAATATTTATGTCCTTTACACATTTAAACTCTCTCCATTTCTTTCTCTCTCTCTGTCTCTCTCTCTCTCTCTCTCTCTCTCTCTCTCTTACACAGTATCTAACTCTTGGAACGTATATAACAGTTAGCACTTTCTAATGCATTTGTGACCTCAATATTTTCAAAATTTTGGCTCCTTTTTGTTGGCAACGCTTGGTCCAAAATCTGCATACAGTTAAAATATTTTAACTTTGTATTAAAGTCGAATTGCGTTGCACAAATTGCTTGGCTTTAATCAAATTTGCCCCATACATACTTAATGAAAGCAGCCCATCAATATTTTTCAATTCCTTAGCTGAGAAGCCCAGCTCCTTTTATAAGTTAACTAAAGATTGGCATTATTCGCTTCGATGGGAAAAACTTTGATGGATGAGTAAAAAAAAGAAGGTTAGCTCACTTCTACTGCTGCTCTCTGCCGGCTCCTCTCTTCCCCCTGCGACAGCACTCTTCAATTAGTATTTAAATTCTTTATTAGGCAACTCTCCTCCCCACGTTGCGGTTCACACTATTTTACTTTTCACACATTTGCCAAATTATTATAGTTGCTGTTTTTGTTGCTGGCTTGTTTAGTTATTTACGGAAATCGAAATAAATTCAATTTAGGTCACCAGCACACACAAATGCCATTTTTAAATAAATTTATTGAGCTTGAAAATAGACTATCGATTGGCATAGAAATAAAGTATTTTATTAATTAGCATATAATCAAACAAGCCATGCTTCTGGTCTGATTTGCAGCAGTGACAAAAATATGTTATCAAATAAATTTAAACAATTTTGTGAATTTATAGAAAAAGTAGAGCTCTTAATAGTAGAGCATATAAAGTTGAAGTTGTGTCTTCCGACTAAAATGACCTTTTGAGACAAGGTAGCGAGGCCATAAGCCATGCTCCCATTTTTACTTGTCTTTTACTTTTAAGTTGCTTTTACATTTTTTGTTGAAAAATTATTTTTGTTTATTTAGATAGTTTCTATATGAATATAAATGAACATTCAAATTTGGACCTAAAATCATTTTTAGCCTGTGCGTTGAAGCCAATTAACTTCATAAACCAATTGCGTATAAATAAAGAACTTTAGGTGCTGCAAAACTTGAATTTGATTGTTTATCCAACAACTCAAATCGATTTAAGTTTTCAGCCAATAATGCAGCATATGACGCCTTGGCAACTGAATTCAAGTCAGATGCTAACATTCAACAAACTTTTCGGTTTCTTTTGCTGGTTTCAGCTTGCAAAATATTTGCACAAATACAAAAATTCCATTTCAATTTCGGGCCATTAGTGTCGCCGTTTAAATGCGGCTAGCAAAAGCAAGAAAAAAGTTTTGTTTTCACGCTTTGGCATTAAAAGAAAACAGTCGAAGCAAAAAAAAAAAAAAAAAAAAAAATACCAAAGTAGCAGCAAAGTTTTTCAGTTTGTACGCGGTATCCCCCGCAGCTGATATGCCACGCTCTATAGCCCCCACCAAGAACCGCGCAGCCATTTTTTAACTTTGGTACTGGTTTTTGCCAGTTGTGTTTGTTTGCACAAGAAAAATTAAAGGAAAATAACAGCCGTAATGAAATTGGAATAAACGTACATTGACACGGCCCGATCAAAATTGAATTTGTCTGCGGCATGTGTACAATTGCTTGTCTGATAACCATTCAAAAAATAAATATTATCGATTTAAATATACAATTTAAAACGCATTAGGGCCGTTTAAAATGTATACATACATATATTTTTATATTTAGAACTTTCAAAAGTAGAACTTCTGCTAGCACAAACTTTTGCCCACATAAGTATGCAACGCTTTTTGAGTTTTGCACATGTGGCATTCCCCGGGCACCGACCACAACTGGTTCCACACAATGCTTTTTAATTTAATTAAGAATATATAGACCTTTATATGTATATATATATATATATAATTTTTTTCGCTTTCTTGTTGTTTGCCAAAAACTTTGCCATATAAAAATATATGACTAACGATGTGCAGAAGTGGTGCCCGCCTACGCCGCACCGCCATAGCAAAAGCTACACGCACACGCTGCAGACATGCCTACGGTAAACTCACTAAGCCAACTGCCCCCTTCCATCTGGCTCAGCTTCCATGTGCTACTGTGTTGCTTTGTTTAGCTGCAGCGGGTCATGTGGGTCAAGTGGGTGGGTCAAGTATTAGAATTGTGCGGCTACACAAGGGTCGGCTTACGGTCTCTCTGTTGTCCTGGCATGGGTTAAGTGGTTTTTAATGAAAGTTAGAAGCCGCTTTAATGCAACTTGTTGTTGCTAATTGTGTTATGGAGAGGCCACGTGACCAGCTCATCCCACCCACTCAGCAATCAGCTAGCAAAGCCCTTTAAAGCATTTTCTTTTTGTTGTTGTAAATGCTTCACTAAAAGGAAAAGTTTGTCCGGCAAAATGTTGAAATATTATACCGATTAAAAGTACTTGAAGGCGACGCATCATTAATTGTTCAGCATAATAGCTTTAAGCCGTTAGTGATAGCTTTATATTTAACTGAATGAAATATTCATTTATACCGTCTGGCTATAAACTAAAAGCATTAACAATGAACAGTGTAAAAAGTCACGCATAATTTTGGGCGTTTGCTTTGTTCTATTTAATATTCGTTTGCTTTCATGGGTATTATGCGCCAGTAGACAGTTGTAAATATCTATATAAATATATTTATTTTTGCTTTCATTTTATCCAACTCTCACGCTCTCTCTCTCATTTTGCAATTGCGCGCGCTTTTTTGTTGCCACTTTTTCAGATGATTTCCTGACCCCTGGCTTCCTGATCGGAATTCTGTATTTCCGTTACGTCCATTACGCTTTTAAATGCGAACTCGCCTTTGTTGTTGCCTGTCCTCTTTTTTTTTGCCATGCAACTCCCCTTATTTATTATTGTTGCCGCTGGCATCCCGAGCAGCTGGCATTGGCTGCTCTGGAAACTCTAGAAATTCAATTTTCCTGCGGGAAGTTTCAAATTGTTTTTAACCAGCAAAAATGTTGCGTTAAATATATTTAAAAAGGAAAGCTAACGGAAATTATTCTTTCTTTGATTTAGTCAGTTGTTATCTTGTGATTTATTTAGTGTGTAATTCAAAATGTTTGTCTCTCATTTGAATGTGACTAAGCCAAACTGAGCTCTTCGTTTTGAGTAAATATCGCCTTTTTACACATTTCTCATACTCAATATCTCTAAGCAATGGAAGTGTTTATTAACGCTTGCTTACATTTCGATTATTGTCGACTAACAAAACTATATTTTGAGTTTCATAATTTAATAGAAAATACACGAATTGTCTAGCATCTTACCCCCTTCTTAAGGCAGGTGAATTCTGCCAAGCTCAATTAAATTTTTCTGTTTGAGATTATAATACATACATACGTGTGCTTACTTAGCTGACAGTGTCATAATTTAGATCCAAACTAATTTACTTTATTTTTATACAGCTAAACACGTTATATGGGAATACATTTATCTTCTCTTGCCCATTCCTTGTCTTACCTTACCCAGGGCTAAGGGTTTTCATTCCCAACTGATTTCCTGCCTGTTTAATATGCCCGACGTTTGTGCTCAACGCTCAGTGATTTTAATTAACATTTCTGATTTTGTGGCTTAGCTGCCTGTCGCTGTCTCTCTGTGTTTGTGTGTGTGCCTGTGTGTGTTTTGCTCTTTATTGGCACACCTGTGCACACAGGTGACAAGATATTAAGCCAATGTGCCGTGTCTTAAGCTTTGTCTGTGGCTGCCCCTTAAATTCCGTAATTAATTAAATTGCTGCTTGTTTAATTAGCTGTGCAAGTTTTTATGATTAAGTTTTCGTGAACCGTTAAGATCTTAATTAAACTTAATTAATGTATTTTCAATACCAAATCTTTTCGTTACAGTTATCAACATACCAAGTAGCTTGTGGTCCAAATAAACTCAACAAATAGGTAAGTTTTCGATGGCAGGTGGCAGCAGCTGACAGTGCTCGACTCGTCAATACCCTGTCTTACCATAATACTGTAATTAAGTCCATGTGGCTTGAAAGTTTTTCTGAGGGATCAACGTGCGTAATTTCAAAGAATGGTCTGAAAATGAGTTCATATCGATTTGTGGGATCAAAAGTTTTACAAAAACTGAACAAAAAACTAAAATTGAACTAAGTGATCCTTGCCAAGGTTGGTGTAAACTCTTTTTGAACTTTAAGATCAATGTGTATATCGTCTGTATATACTCTGTTTATATTCTGTAAAATAGAATTAGAATTAATTATTGGTGCAAACCCAATATATATATTTTTCCCTATTTTTCTTTTGTTTTGGCCTTAAAATATTTGTTTAAAGCAAAATTGCCTATTGCTGATTAAATTCAACGATTCCATATCATACGTTTGTGCAATCGGCTGTATATATACATTTTCATTGCACTTCATTCAGCTGACAGATTTCATTCGCTTTGACGGCTCCATTCAAACATCAATCAAAGCATTTTTCAAAATATATTTTTTTTATTCCAATATATTTGATAGATTTATTTATGCTTTCTCTTTTATTTTTTCTGGGTGTCAATGTTATGTGCATGAAATATGCTTTGGCTTTGTGTGCAGCTTTTGTCGTTGAATAAAAGAACTCAATAGGTTTTTTTTTGTTTTATTAAATAAACATTTGCCTTTCAGTTTTGAGCTTTTGTGTTTACAAATAAAAAAAAAAACTTTAAAATTTATATGCGTCTTAAATGTGCTTTAAAGTGCAACCCACGTGGCGTGGTATATCCTGGGCTACTTGGTCAGCAGCTAAAAAGGTTTTGCTGGAAATTATGTGAATCGAAACTTGGCCAACAATCTGCTGACCATTGCCCAAAGGCAAAAGCAGTCGACATAAAAATGCGAGCAGAAAAATCGAAATGGAATCCAATACAAAAGAGCACAAAACAGCTGCAGGCCAAAAGTCGGAATTGTATGAGCTAGTGTGTGTGTGTGTGTGTGTATGTGTCGATATCCTTAATCAAAGTTGTGTATGAGAAATCAAATTATGAGTGCGCACACACATAACACCAGGAGACATATGCACATAAGTATGCCACAAGAAATAAACTACAGTGCAGCGGCAGCGGCAGCCGAAGGACTAGCAGCCTGGAAGGACTTGCTCGACTGCCTGGTTGACTGCCTGGTTGTCTGCCTGGCCGCCTGCCTAACTGATGAAGTTGATAATGATAAAAAGGGCCAGATAAAATGAATGCCAAAGACGCAACGAGCCGAGCGAAGGAAGCAGAATAAATTATGAAAAGAATGGTTCACGCATGTGCATAAGAAAATGGGCGTGAGTCCGTGTTCTGGCTTTATATATATATATATATATAGATATATTTGTATGCTTGACGCTGCGTAATTAATTTGATTTCATTCATTCAAGTCAAGGAAATGTAAGAAACCCGAGCAAAAGGCAGTTAAATTAATTGAAAGGCAGCAAGAAACAAAAAATATAGAAAGGAATTTCGCGATTGCAGCACATTCATAATTTTTCAACAAACTGAGGCTTAAAGCGGGCACAAAAGGAGTGGGCGAAATATGTGTGTGTATGGCTGAGTGTCTGTGGGCTAGTGTGTGTTAGCGGAAAAACTCATTGAACTTGCTGCAAACACAAAAGCAACGACTGCCATGCCGTTGTTGGACCAAACCGTGTCGACATTGGTAATAAAGCGCTCACTAGCAGTTCGTATATCCTGGCTATTCTACCTACCCTGTGTGTGTCTGTGTGTCTGTTTGTCTGTGTGTGTGTTGTGTGTGCCTCGAACGAGGTTAAGAGCTTAATGAGTAAGAGTGCTGGCATAGCAGCCTGCAGTTGACATATGATATTTTTATGTGCCTCACAGCCTTGGGCGACAAGAGTTTGCCATTACCATGCATCCAAGCGGCGAGTGTCCTTACAAGGTAAATGCTAAGGTTTTAACTTAATTAGTGCATTTACTAAATGTGACACAATTTCAGTATTTTCAACGACTCACATTTGTAATTGACAAACTATGTTACGGCTATTTATCTGGGGAATTTCACTTAGTTGCCAGTTAGGCGACACGTTGAGTTTCTTTTTTTTTTGGTTTGTTTTTGGTAAGTTTCTAATTTAAACATATTGCTGTGTAAGTTAGTTTCAGTTAGCTTAGAAACATGTTAATTAATTGTCAAAAGCCTCGTTAACATCGGATGAGATTTGAGCATGTTATGGCGGTGCAAAAATTTGACCTATGTCCGTATATGAATCTTAGGGCTAAGATTTTGTCATGAATTTCGACTAAAAATTACGTAGTCAGATATGAGTGCCAGATTAATCTAGAGGGAAAACTATTTACAAAAAGACAAACCTCGTGAAAATCTGTTAAGATTTGACCGAGTTATAGGAAACTTTGAAAAATATAGACATGTATCAGAATTACAACAGCTACGTGCTTAACTCTCCAATGTCCCCAAGACCTAGACTTTAATGGGGTTAAGACATACTCAACTTTTTATTTTATATGCTAGCTATAAAGGTTTCCAATTTGCTAGGCTATCTATATTTACACTTGTTTTCCATCTACTGCTCAGCTCTTTGTCAATTAGTCAAAACAAGCCAAAAAGTTATGCAGTTGCATTTGCAGTGTCTGTTGCAGCTGCAGTAGTTGCTGCTGCTGTTTGTTTATTTCCACGTCAAGCGCCAGGGAGCGTGACAAACAACATGTAAATACAGACGACAATCCCACATAGACACACACATAAACACACCCACACACACACACACACACACACACGCGTGCGAGTGACCGTTGAAGCATTTTGGAATCTGCAACAGTGTTTGGCATTGTTAACCGCTTCTGGCCATTGTTTAACCGGCTGCAACTGCTGCTGCCATATTTGCAGTTGCTGATGACATTAATTGTTTCATTTTGCTTTTGGTTTTTCGCATTTGGCTTGTTGTCTGCGAGCTTAACGCCACGCTAAACACGAGTGTTTGTTACCACTTAGCTGAATTTTACCATATTGCCAGATTGAATTGCAGCTGCACAGGTTGGGCTTGGCCCACTTTGTGCCCCCTTGCACTTCCTGGCATATCAGTTACGTTAACACGCGCTCTTGATTTATTAGTCAGCGTCAGGGCAGACGCGGCTAAAAGCAGCAGCAACGGCAGCAGTTCAACCACTAACAGCTTTTGCTTAGTTAGACACTTTTAATTAAATTTTATTTAATTATTCAGCCGGCAGATTTTTAGCGCTTGGCAGACTGCGAGCATCATGAGCTGCCAAAAATTTATGACGAAAAGTGTGTTGCATATTTTATGGACAGCTCTACCAAACGGGGGAGGATTCAGCGCATGCCACGCGGTGTGGCAAGAAAACTTATTTAATGAGGATCTGAGGCTTAGTACAGAATTTAGCTGTTGGAAGTGCTATTGGCTTATTTTGTGTTCTTTTGATAAAAAGTCTCAAAGCCTTTTGACATTTTAAATGATATAAATTTAGTTATTATATATATGATTATGAATACTATCCATCTTGAAACAAAACTTAATTTTGTTTAATAGTATAAAATATAAGTTTGATAAAAAAAATTTTTTCTATGAATTGTTTCAATTATGAAAAATATGTGAGTTCCAAAGTAAATGCCTTTGGCTACATTGCAAACAAATATTTCAAACGACGCACAAATAAATCAATTTTTATTAAAATTAAAAATCAATTATGTGCTGCTTGTGAAAGCAGTAGCATCACAAAGAGCACTCGAATTAAATGAACTTTAACAATTAATGACACTCGTGGTTCGCTAGTTAATTAAATGCCAAATGTTCGAGTTCGAGCAAGTCAATTGCACGCATTAACGCATATTGTGCTGCACTTGAGCAAATAAGTTGACAGGAAAACAGACAGCAACAACAATTGCAACAATATGTGGCAACAAAAAGCGCAACGCACACAAAAACACGCAACATCAACAAGTTCATTAAAAAAGTTAGCAAAGCAAAAAGCTCTTCTTTCTTTCTCTCTCTTTCAAATTCAACTCAAATGAACAGAACCCGACGAATTCAACGCTTCACTTGAATTTTGCGCAAATTGTTGTTGTTCTTTTATGCCCAGGCATTTTTTTATCTGTAAGTTGACTGCACACCTCTCCTTCCTTTTCGCATGATTTAACTACTCGCACACCTACACAATTTGCAAAAAATAACAAAAGCAGAAAAAAATGGAAATGATGCGGCTCATTTGTGTGCGGCCACAGAAGGGGGGCTAAAGCGCTCGCAATGGACAAGAAAGTACAATTTTCATATTGAAAGCCGAAACTGTAATACCCTAGCATATACATTTTTGATATAAGCTCTATAGCTGGAATCAAATGCCAAGGTCTAATATAATTATAAGATTAGGCAAAATCAAAGGTTATATTTGTCGTGAGGGTATTTTAGCAAATAATTCACTTTAAAAGAAGAAGTCTTTTTTGAGTATTTTTATTAATTATTTATATATTAAATATATTTACGTACATTTTTTAAACAGTGAAAATACCAAAAGCTCTGGCCCAATATATCCATTCACAAATTTAGAGCTTTGGATTTTTCCCTTTGCTTTTTGTAAGCTATTATTTCTGGTACATATCTCAAAACTGTCTACTTTGTTATTATGGATATGCCGCTTGTAGTGTATCTGACGGAAGCGGAAGTGACGTTGCAATTGAATTGTGTGCGCAATCTATGAGCTGGAACATACTCAAACAGCACCCTTCTCCGCATTTGGTCATGTTCACGTTTTGTTGCACTTTATGGCCAGCGAAGTGTGTCGATGGTAGCGAAAGTGAAACCGCTAAAAGTTCAGCGTTGGCCCCCTTTTTTTTCTTCTTTTTTTTTTTTGCCTGTGTTAAGGCACATGCATTGTTAACAACCACCAGCAGAGCACCGTTCGCAGGAGCGCAGCCAGCGCTGCCCGCGCCCTGCCCATCACATTGCGATGCCGGAAGTTTGTGGTGGGAAATTTCATTTATGCTGACACTTGACTTGGTTTGACTCGCCCTCTGGAATATACCCTGTACAGCACTGGGCCCAGTGGTTGGCTTTAATTTGCAGCAAATAAATAATGGAAACAGACGTTCAGTCCTGAGCTCGATTTGTTGGCCATTTGGCCTTGATGGCAGCGCATTGCTACCAATTCTATTCAATTCGCTGGCCAGCGAAGTTCGTATTATGCTCAAGTTGTGCACTTTTTCCATTTCCTCTACGACGGCCACCAGCCGGAGCACAGTTGAGCGGAAGTGGACGCGAACTGTGGGCGAGACCAGGGCGCTGTATAGTGAGACAAAAGGCAGCGGACAGGACTTCATTGATTTTGTTGGTCTTTTGTGGTTGTCTTGGGGCATTATTTTTCTTCTTTTTTTATTGTATGCCTGGGCTTCCAGTTGTCCATCGGCAAAGTTTGCCTTCTGGCGTTAAATGTGACAATTTAATTGTTTTGTAATTGTTGGCTCTTTGAAGTGGACTCTGATTTATTGCCAAATTGAATAAGCACCAGGAGAGCACACCAGATAATTCTTAGCTTTTAAGCAGCAAATTCATTTAAGTTTTGTTGTGCTTCGTTGACCTATATTCCTTTTACGTATCAATTGATTTCAGCTGTCGACAGCACTTGCTCAACGAATTGCTAATAAAAATCCAGTGCTAACGAAGTATAGGACTCAAAATTAATTTGCCTGATTTGTTGAACAAATTGAAGGCTGAAATATTTACTCATCTACACTTTAGCTGCTTCCCAAGTGACAGCTCAGAAAGTTGATAAGTTTATAGTTTGAATGCTTTACATTCTCTGTGCTAAAAACTACGTTCATTAAAAACTTTTCCTTTTTTGTTTAAGTATTGATACACTTGGGTATTATAATAAAAATAATATTAAAATATTCTGGTCAGGTATTTGCGTTGATACGGGAACGTTTTTATTTTAGAGCTTAAGAAATAGTTTTGCCCGAGGTTGTAAATATGCTTGTGCTGGACGAATCAATTGATTATAGAAACTTCGAAATACCAGAAGGTATAAAAATAAAAAAGTATACCATCATTTTTAAGGTTATATATTTATAAGCAACACGATAGCATATTTTTATCAAGGTCAAGGCATAAAGTTTTCGGCAGCACGAGCCTTACATTTCTTGCTCGTTAGATCTTAAACTAATTGCGTATACGTAATGCTCTCAGGTTCAAAATTTATTCAGTTACGATTGCTATATGGAACTTTTTGAACGCAGCAGCCGCAAGCGTCGTAGCTGCATTAACTTTTGTTTTTTGCAGCCTGCTTTTAGGCGCAACACGAGTAGCCACCTGAATGCCGTGGCAAACGTGTCTAAGTAGTAAACAGTGGCAGCAACTGAAACTTTTGAAAATGATTGCAGTGCATGAAATTGGCTGGCATTCATTTTAAGAGTGGGCTTGTGGATGAGGAGCTGCTGCTGCCTCTGCTGCTGGCCTGCTGTGCTCTGGCACAGGCATAAGTTTTTGGGTTTTATGCTGGCTGACTGCTTATGTTGGGGCTGAAATGAAGTTAGCAAAACTGATTAACTCTCGGCAGCAATAGCAGCAGCTCGGCATGCATTTTGCCTGCCGTCTGGCTCCAGGCTCCAGGCTCCAGGCTGCAGGCCTTTAAAAGTTGCAGCATAATTGAATTTTTCCGGCGACGCCCGCCCGACTCCAATGCTGCGTGCCTCATCTTTGGCCCGGCCTAATGATAGTTTGTACTGCTCCATAGATCGTTGGCATCGGGCATTGTGGGGGCTGCTTAATATAATTCAAATGAAATAGTTGGTGCATTTGCTGTTGCATTCAAATGCAATTACATTTTGTTAAGTAATTTCACACCGATTCTTGAATTGCTTAACTAAACAGGCGCATAAATCTTTTAGCTGACCCTCCCACTTACCAACTGGGCTAAAAGGTTCATCAGCCGTTGGGATTTACTTGGAGCGGTTGTCATTCCATTTAAACTGCGTCTTGAAGCAAACAGTTTGTTTAGCCACGCCCCCTTTTGCTATGTAATGTTAGCAGCACGCCCACAACTACGAGCTGCCAGCGCACAGTAGTTGGCTGTGCTAATTCTGGCCATGATAAATAGCAGTCACAGAAAAATTATATAAATGCGCAAAAATGGCATTCAAAAAGAATCCACAGAATTTTGCAAACATATTTTTATACACTGTTCACAGAATGACAACGGGTATATATGTTTTGTGCACCCAAACTTCCATACTGCTACTAGTCAAAGTTTCAAAGTCACTGGCTTTGAGTAACAGTTTGATGAACACTGTAACACTCACGAAGGCTATTACAAATATGAGTGAAACGAGTATTGCGCTGTCCTTTACACCCGTCTGCAAAGAGCTCTTTCGTTTCTCCTGCTCGTCGCATCTGCCATAGAAATTTATGAATTTTCATAAATTTTGTCAACTGACCCTTTGGCACTTTTAACTGTTTGCCGTCCTTTAAGCCAACTTACTTGGCTTACGCAGAAGGTCCTGCAATTTGTGTGGCTTTCGTTCTGTTATTTTTTGTATTCAATGCGACATTTCTGATGCACTGTCAAGGTAATTGCGTGGACAATGGTCGTGTCCTTTGCTACACACATTCATAGCACTTCATTCCTAAAAGTTGGCCAAGTGTCGCTCTTGGCTTTGGCTTTCACGTAAACAAACTAGCCATGAAACCTAATGCTTCAGCTTATTTTAGCTTATACGCGCGCGCGCTTGTGTGAATGTGTGTATCAGTACATGTGCCTTTAATTTAAGTTAGTTTAACTTTTTTCATACGAAATTAATTAGTATATAATTTTATAAATATTTCTCTTGTTTATTTTGCAGACTTGTGTCACCATAGCAAAGGTAAGTGCAAACAAATGTTTATGTCTATCGTAAGACGCATAAGAAAGTATTTATAAGAGAAATAAATACAAACAGAAATTTAAGCTCATCAGCTTTTACGACCTATCTATCTTGTCAAATTCCGATAGGTTTCCTTTTCATGGAGTTCAAATCTGTTCAATCTTAACAAAGGGTTATTAACACAGTGGAACTATATACAAATATTTAAAGTGAAACATCTTTTGTTTTGATAACACATGAATTTAAACAGTTTTTCATTCTTTTCAATGGGTTTCCGTCAAATACAACTTCTTGTCACGCTTAGCTTATTACTCGACGCACAAGAATTAAAAATGAAAATATAACTTCGAATCGAAACTAAGAAACTTGGACTTTAGTACTGCAGAACTGTAAAACTTTTAATCAGATAGTTAACTAAAATGATGCATTATTGAACTCCTCTTTGAACAATTGTTTTTGTTTTTGTTGTTTTGTTATCCTTTGTTTTACAATCCCATCGATTGATTTTACTTGCCCAGTGTCCCGCACTCAGAATCCATGGACCTTGAGGCGATCGGCCTTGGCCAGCCCAACTTTAGTTAGCCACTGGCAAATATTCTCGCGTTGATCACCCTGGAGCTGCAATACCTCACCGTATTCGGGATGCTCAATGACAGTGCCGTTGCATGCGAATTCCTTTTTGCAGGAGCGCACAATTTTCTTTAGATCGTATTCGGCTGACAAGCCCTGAACGGTGGTTAAAGTCTTGCGTCCGTTGCGCTGTTGGATACGAATGTGGACGAGACCGTCCTGAATGTCATCATCTGGTCCCTTGATGGCATCGGCGAATGGATCGCGCGAGTTGAGATTCTGAATGGACATGCGAAGTGCTGTGCAGAAATCGAATACTGCAATAAATGCCAAAAGTTGCACAAAATTATAAACGAATTTTTTTTTTTTGTTGTTTTGCTGATTTTTCTGAACGATTCAATTTTTTTTTTATTTTGTTAGCCTGTATATCGGAATTTATGACTATTGTTTTTTGTATGGCAACCAAAATATTTAAATTGACCACTGAACTAGAGATAACATTTGCTAAACCTGCTACGACTTTCAACAAAATATGATTTTCCAAACAAATTTTATTGTGTATTATTTTGAATGCGATTTGCCCGCTTACTTAGTTTTCTCCTCATTTCATTAGCAGACCAATGAAAACTAATGAAGCCTGGCAAATTAGGGCAGCTCTGTGAATTTTCCATCAGCGGTAATTAAAGCCAATAAGCAGGACAAATTTTCGCCCACCCTCACTGTAAGCGCAATTATTATTCAATTTATGAAATTGAACAGACTTCTTTTATGGCTACATAAAATTCAATAAGTGCCTGCTGTTCTTACGCTCTGTGTGCGCCGCAATGCGAACAGGAAAGTACATAAATTCAATTTAGAAAATTTACCAAGAGGTATTTCAAGCGATTGCCTGCTTTTAGGCGATGTTGCGTAAAAAAATATGTTTTTGCTTGATTAATTTTCTGCGGTTGTAAAAACCAAAGCGTAATGCTAAACAAAGCAAAAAAAAAAAGGTGCAATAAAAACGTTAGACGAGATTGTTTGCCTAGGTGATACCCTTTGCTTGCACAAAATGAAGTATCTATTTAGCATTTTTTTGGCTTAAGGTTTTTCAAACTTTTCTGCGGGTTTCGAATTTCGGCCTACTTTTCTACGAATATATATACCTCTTCCGCCCTCTTGATGCTCATTTTATGAGTACAGGGTATATATATAAATAGCAAAATGGAGAAAAGCACTACAACGGAAAAGGTAGCAACGCAAGCACAAAACCAAATTAGAAAATTTGCATATAGTCTGAGTGAGTGCGCAGAAAAGTAGGCAACAAAAAGTTTTTGCCAAATCACATGCACACATTTGATATACGCACACACAGGAACACACCTGCTCCGGTCTATTATTTTCTTTATCAAACTAAATTAAAAAGTTTTTGCCTTCTAGATCCGTGCGACTTTCGATTATAATGAGCCTGTCATGTGGCCTGATAGAGTTTTCGTTTTGTTTTTATTCCGTGAAATAATCTAGAAATTCAGCTGCCTAATACAGAGTAACATTGGTAATTTATCAGCTGAAAAAGCAGTGGCAGCCAAACAAATTTGCATTAAATGCTGTGCACAGTTTTAATTGCTTATATCGTGGCAGCAAACATAAAACTCATTTCACATGATGTACGGACTGTCATTTATCTGGGTGCCTTCTTGCCCCATCGGGCAAAATAAAGTTCCAGCAGAAAATATGATGAATGCGCCGCGGAAACTGTGCGCTGAGCGTGTGGCAAATAATGAAAAATTACGGCATAACACACACATACACACACACACCCACACATTCGTACAAGCACCCCAAAAGCACACTAAACAACTAAAAACGGTTACATGCATATACAGGACTGTGGTGCTGCATACATTTGGGCGCTGTAAAATATAAAATTCTATGAATTTGTACGTACATCATTTGAAAATCGTAAAACTTGCAAGTGTTGCTTGTCGAGTACGCACACAAGCACACACAAACACACACACACACACACACAGACAGAGTCGCATTGAATGTGTGCGAGCTGTCATAAACAGGCACAAAAAGGTAAACTGAGTTTTATTTTTATTATTCGTATTTTTTTTTTCTTTTTGTATAAAAAGCGCATATACTTCTTTATATAATTATAATGCCTGGCCAAATGCTGATGCTTCTGATGAGCTTGGCGATAATCATGATGCTTCTGCTCTTGATGGTGCCACAGCTGAGAAGCTGCTGTGGACGATTACACAATGCAATTTGCTTAAATGGCTTAAATATTTGCCTAAGTTTATGACTGAGCAAATTGTGCCAAATTTTAGCATGCTGCTGAGCCATGTGTCAGGATTCATAATTTTCACTCAAGCAAATTAAGTTTCAAACGAAATTTAAAAGAAAGAACAAAGTGAATTTATTAAACTAAATTTGTGGAAACCGTAAAATATTTATCTGATATTCAAACCACAAACCTTTTCAAATGAAATCAAAACAGGAACTAATGCAGAGTACTTTCATGAGTTATTTTCTTAAACTTGGCAAATAATAATAGAAAGCTTTGAGAGACAGCTTTGATGGGTTTTAGCTTCATTGTTTTTCTAGAAACAAGAAACTTTCAACTAAAACAACATAAGCTGCAACAGTTTTGACCAAAGAGAAGAATCATAAAAAGAAAAAATTATTCTAAATGATTGAGTTGTGGTTTCCCAACTCAACAATAACTTCCTGAGCATTGGTGTGCGCGTTTAATAAATAATGCCTTACAACTTAATCCTTAATCCCAAATCACTTCGAGTAATGCGTGTAAATGTCACACACACACACACATACACACATATCTACAGAGTGTCAAAATGGATGCAGCGCGCCAAATAACATAATCAATAATGAGGTTAAATTGCAGGTTGACACGTGATAAACGGCACTTGTGATGTGGGCAACTAATGAATGCCATGGACATCCGCATTCGTAATCGTAGCCGAAGTCGTTTCTTGTGCCATCACCTATCTGGCAGGCGTTCTGTCAACGCGTCCGTCAGTCAGTCTGTCATGCAAACAAACAAAATCGCTTTTATTGTAATCCACAATGTCAAAACATTGCAGCGGATGTTTAGTAAAAGCATTTTGGACAGGGACTGGCAAGCGGAATTGGCACATCTACAAAACGTTATGGCATGTGAGCGGGCAATTGAATATACATATGTACACACACGTGCTGGCATGTGCATGAGTGTGTCTCTGTGTGTGTGTCTGTGTGTGTGTGTGACCTACCTGCACAGCTTTATCGCATGACACGCAGTTGTTCTGAAAATGATTTTACTATATTTTCTCGTTTTTTTCCCCCTCCTCGGGTGGCTTCCTTTAACAACCCACTAAACCATAAAGTACTTATGATGGGTAAGCTGGATGCGAGTAAGAGAGGGTAAAAAAAAGGTTTGGGCCCCATTGATTTTCCATTGATAAATAGCTGACGGTTTAGCGTTCTCGGCTTATTTTTTTTGACACACACCCAAACATATATGGAGAGGGACATGCACGGGTTAAATAGTTTAAGACTGTCTGCTACGTTAAAAAACAATTTGCGTGAAATCTCTTTCAAGCACAGCACGCACGGTAAATGGAAAATGAGCGATGAACTGACGATGCAGCAATGAGTTAAAATATAAATGCAAAATTTATGTAAAGCGGGTTAACGTTGGGGCTTACTTTGACAGGCAGTTCGATTTTGGTTGAGATCCCCCGAGGCCTTTTGGCCAATTGCCCAGGCAGTGAATTGATGAATCTGCTGCGGGTGGCACGGATATGTGGGCCGGTCTGTTAACTGATTTCCAATCATTTTATTTGTGGGCAACAACTCCATCTACTTGTAGCCAATTAGCCAGACTGTTAACAGGCTATGTTGGAGCAACGACATCTAAAAAAAATGCAGCACAGTCGGCATGGGTGAATACTAAATTGATAGAAACCCCAAATTAATGGATTGAAAGCATTTCACAAGGCAACCCATTGATAGCTGTGTTAAACTTAAAGCGATTTCTGCGTGGGTCAATCAACTGTCGAGTGGGCGAAAATATGTTACGGGAATAAAATGCGTCCTGCGGCGTTCACATAAAAACAAAAAAAAAAGGAAAAAAAAATCTGAAAGAAATATTAATAAAAGATGAGCGACATTAGTGTCTTCTTCATTTTCTTATATATCTATTTTTTTTTTTTTTTTTTGTGTGCGAATGTCCAACCCAAAATCGTAAAAGTAGCTAACAAAAAAAAAAAAAAGGCAAAAAGAAAGAAAACACTTTTTACTACTTCCTTTGAAACTGAATGAACACCTCCTGCACCCAGGACGTAGCGTTTTGCATTGGCTGTCATCTAACCTCGAGCGTTTTGTTGACCTTTTTTTTCTGGCTCTGAGTAGAAAATATATATATAAACCGTTGCCAAATG